GCCAAGATTCCAGATGTGTCTGCCTCATACTGTGAACCCAATACATTTGAGATGACTAAGTTTAGAAGTTAACATTACTTAAAAAGTATAATTTTTTATCAAGAAATGTCCTCATTTTGGGAAAAACTGCTGCAGGTTGGTCAATTCAAGGTTTAGAGGCAACCGTTTTATAAAAACATTTGAGTACTCTTACCTTTTTCCAGTTAACAGTGCAGCCATGTTCAGGACTTCTCTCTATTTGGTTAATTGCTTGCATATTAATGACTTCTATAATGCTCGTAAAAGTGTGATATATTTGATTAATACATAAAATTTTTTGATTGTTTCTCTGCTTTTTATGATGACCAGTTCTTGTAAGGGTGGCCGACTACGAAGGATCAATACACTGCCCAGGTTGACACGACAAGATAGTGTCAATTTGGTCAATATAGCTACCCCTGAACCACCTAAAAACCTCTCTTGGAACAACACCCTTCTGTGAACCTATCATTTCAGTGACACCAAACTGAAAATGCATTCTAGCATTTAAATGGCCAGTAATAAAGCAGCCAATGGGTTTTGATTTTACAGCTAAATAATTAATGATTCACAGTTTTATATATCAGTGTTCTTGTTTGTTTTGTTAGAGAAGACTAATAGTTCTAGCCTAAACAAATAGCAGTCATTTTGTTGTCCTACTGATTAAACAGACTGGAAATGATTAAATAGATTTCAGGTTCCAACCCATTCAGGAGCGTCCGAAAAAGAGCTTGTTTGCTTTATTTGATGAGATTGTGACTTGCATTGGCCGCTGCCCTGTTTAGGATCGAATGGAAGCAGATTTCTCCATGGAAAAGGCATATTTCAGAGTGCATTCTGACTGAGGAGAGACAGTGGAAGTCTTATTTTACACAGGTGCACATACAGAGCATTACACAAGAGATGACAGACAAAGTGAGATGAACTCAGAGCTCAGCTGAAATCAAAGCAGTCTACAGAAATAATTACTATCTTGCTGAATGTCTGAGGTCACGGCATTATTTAACCCATCTTTGACTTCTTCATATCCATGTAGGTGGATCCTGAAGCATCACTGGGAATATTAATGTGCCGGTACATGACCGTATACTTTGTATTGTAACATGCATTGTATGAAATATAGAAATATTAGGTTTTAAGGTTTTAAATAAGACTTTTTCTGTGGAATGCATGGGACTGATCATGAACCAGAAAATAAAACCACACACTAAATATACACATTTATCATATTTACACACAGTATATTAAAATAATATTAGTATACATGTATGCACAATTCGTTGCCAGAACTTTTCCTTCAAAAATACAGTAGCACTGGTATTGGTTTTACAGGATTGTGCTGAAAGTGTTACAGGTTATAATTATTTTGTATGGTTTACGACATGGTCATGATGATTTACTGTTCATGACCATTTTTGTACAGTTCTGAACTCTCTAATTTAAGAGTTTGTATGTTGTAATAATTATGGTTAATTACAAAAATAAAGCATAAATATTAAAGCTAAAAAATAGCAGCTGTGGTTGATGAAAGTGTACAGTTAAATATACAGTATGATCCAAATTTAATCATGTTTTTACAGTTTATAACTGCCTTCCCATGAGATTCTTATAAATATCTTATAAACACATTTTTGAACTAATAAAAATATAATTTCTATTAAAAATAATAGAGTATTTTGTTAATTTTTTCACTAAAACACATATTTTTATATTCTTTTAACTGTTTTTAAAAGTCTTTCCTTGTTGTCTTACTCTGTAAAACTATATTTTTTACTTTTTATTACGTTTTCTAAAATATAGTTTTTTCTGTAGCATTTATACGGTACTTTATGGATAAATCTACGGACATTTTTTACAGTGTATTCAGAATAACCGAAGGGAGCATTTGTAAAAACATTATGTTAGTTTTTGTCAGATGGAAGCCACTATAGTCACTACTCTGCATACATCTTTCTTAACATCGAAATTGCCATAAGATTCATATTCAATGTTCATGGGAATCAGCCATGGGTAAGCAATTTAGTAAATCAAAATACTACACAGAGGATACTAGACATTCTTAAAATGACTGTAGTAATTCTTCTTATTGATAAAGACAGCAGTTGTAAATGTAACCCCATGCTTTTCAAAAGTCTAAACTGCCTTTGCAACAACCTGATCGAGAGCTTAGGTGGAGAAAAACAAAGGGACGCCTGCTTGAGATGCTAACAGTGGTGCAGAATTTCTGGAGAGAGTGTAAGGTTGAGCTTGCAAGAGCGTGAAAAAGAGAGCTGGTAATTGCTTTTATTTAATCGAAAGCCACTCTTCAAAGGCAACATCCTGCTCTCGATCATGACATACTGACACTTGTCACACTGCAGCTCCCTGATGGGCCGCGGCAGGGGATAGTGACAGCATGTTTCTAAGCCTCTCTAAGTCTCAGGCGAAACCCAAAGCTCCTCAAAGGCAAACCCCTGCAGGATCACAAGGCTAATGGTGTGTTTACTCTTGTCCTTTGTGACAATAGACTGAATAAACTGAAATTACATGGTTAAATTGACAATAGAAGGTTTGTACGTGACGTCACAGTATCTGGAAATTTTGGAGTGAGTGTCAAAAAGCCTGTATTTGTGCCAGCAGTGAACATAAGTAAATGCTGAATAGGTGACGGGAGTGGTGACGTCATGTTGAGGTTGGAGATCTAACCTGGGTCTTTATTGAATATAGGTAATTAAATATTACGTTGAAAAGCTATTAAGCTATTTAAAATATGAATAAAATATGAAATAAAGAGTTAAACCTGAATTTATGCTGTTAATTGATTTGTTGTGTATTGTTATTGTGTTCTGAATGTGATAAAAGAGTATTCATTTAGGGCGGCACAGTGGCTCACCAGTGACATTCCTGGAAGGAGTTTGCATGTTCTCCCAGTGCTTGCGCGGGTTTTCTCCGCCTACTCCGGTTTCCACCACAATACCAAAAACATGCGGTTAGGTTAACTGAATAATTTAAATTCCCCTTAACTGTGAATGTGTGAGTGAATGTTGCCCTGCGATGGACTGGCGACCTGTCCAGGGTGTAAAATGAAAGTGAAGACAATACTTCATTAATTCATTGTAAGGTAGGGCCACAAAATTTCCTGCTTAGGGCCTCCAGATGTACAGGGCCAGCTCACTAGTATTGGCAGACAGAAGTCCTCAGTGAAAACCACAGAAACTAATCTAATGCTGGAGAATCATGAGAGAACAGAACTTTGAACAGTTAATCTAGCAAATAGGATCAATATGTACCACACAAAGACGCACACACGGGGGAGGGGAAGCTGTAACTGGATGAAAGAATCAAAAAGCTGAGGTGCTTCATTAGAAATATTAACATTTTTCAAGGGTAAATGACTCACTTTCACAGCAGACTGCAGAGATCAAACCGGACAAAGCAAGAGCTAACTATGGACAGATGGTGTCTTAAACTTGTGTTTTGTTTCCTCACGTTGTGTTTGACGCAGTGGGACATTCCTAACCACCTACACAACAATCAACAGATGGAGTAGTGAGATGTACATTAAACTCATGAATTCCCTGAAAACCACGCACTTGTTATTCTAAGTCTCAAACCAGTTTAATGCATAGCTTAGGAAGAGCCAAGTGTTACTGAACGATTCTAAGGTTCACTCCAAATTTATTCCAAAGAACTGTTTCTAAAGCAATATTTAGGAAATACAATATGTACAAGAAACTTTCATGTCAGATAAAATATGCAGACTAATCTCTAAGCTTTAGTAACGGCACAGTGCAGGAGACAAGGAGAACTGATGGAAGATTATTAAGCAATTGTAAATGCTTCAGAATCTCTCAACACAAATTTTGTGTGGGTGTGGCTTAGCAATGGGGTAATTTGGTTACATTACGAAATCCATCAATAATGGTTAAACAAACCAATCTCACATTGAAAAAGCAAAAACCTATCAATTTAGATGACTATAGACCATTTAGATGAGACTTCATTTTATTGTACAGCCTTGAATTACGAGCTTTCAAATTGACATTAATTTTCTTATCAGCATTGTTAGTTTTGTTCCCTGTGCTCTTCTGTTAATTTTACTAATTTAAACATCATACATATTTATCCAGGTGCCTGTCAGAGAAATGAATTTATGCATTTCTATCATCTTCAAACATAAAATAATCTCCCATAGTCCCACTGGTCTCGAGACAGCCCTCAAAAAATGCAATTATGAATTATCTTCACTATTAGAAGACTTCGTCTTGATGCCACTTAGATCTTTCAATCCCTTATGCCCCACCAACTTACAAAGCATTTAATAAAATGTAAAACAATGGTACTGAACAAGAAAAAGTATGTGAACCTTTTGCAATTTCAATGTTTGTTTTAATAAATTTGTAATAAAAATGTAATCTGAGCTTTATCTAAGTCAAATGTTTTGAGACACACAAGGTGTCTACAAAAATAAAGCACATCAAATTCTGTTCTTTCATGTCTTTGTTGTGTCTTAGTTGTCCAAATAAGGAGGAATGGTGCGACTCACCTTTTGTTTCATTTTAATTTCAATGTATAGGTTTCTAAATGTGTGTTAGCTTTGATATGACGTATAATTTGCAAAGTAATTAAAATTTAAATGTGAGAAAATGCGCAATCGTCTTTCAGTTTCATTGTACACACCCCAAATTGGTGCCCATCAGTGCCATCTAGTGGTGAACATAAGTGATAGCCCTTGGACATACAATACCTGGGAAAAGGCTTGTGTTTTTCAAAGTTCTGGCAAAAAAAGCAAAGTGGCACAAAAAGTGCTTGGAACAGTGTATAAGGTTTAGGAGAGGTTCAGTTTTTTTGTATAGTTTGCAGTAAAAAAAATGACAACATTTAATACTAAGTTCACGTTTAATGCGGAATTATCGTGTAATGTAATTAAAAAATATTTGTTCGAAAAAGAAGTTGAGGTTGTACAGAAATTATATTAACCACAAAAAAAACAGTTAAAAAAAGCTTTCCTGTGGCTCAGTTGGTAGAGCATTGCACTAACAACGAAGGGTGGTGGGTTAAAATCCCATGGAAAGCAGGAACTGATGAAAAATGTGTTAACTATTCAAAAAATGTAAATCACTTTGGGTTAAAGCATGTGCCAAATGCGTAATTGTAAAAGGTAATTTTTAGAATGAATTGTAAAGTAGAAAAAAGACTCAAAAAGACCCCAGACTTCTATGGGTTAATGAGATAAAAATATAATACATTCGGAGATGTCGACTACAGCAAAAAGCCCTGAATAACATAACATTTTATCTTTTTTTAATCCACGTTTGTATTGTAAATGTATCTAAATTTTCTTTTTTTCAATTCAAAGCCTTTAAAGATATTGCATTGAAGAATGTCTGCTTCCTTCTAATGTGTAAATGGATGTGCCTCAATGCATCACGTATCTCAAGACAAATTTGTATCGATGAAAACGTCCAGCTCTCAAGCCCCACACAGCACTTAAAGTCTACTGACAAAATCTCGTCACAGCCTTGCATTACCAAACTCAATAGTTGTGCTCAACATCTTCTTCAAAGACCTCCGCAAGACCCTTTCCAGCAGGGGCCCACAGAAACACAAGACAGAGAACAGAATCATCCTCCAGGGAGCGCAGGCAGCTCATTAAGAACGATTGAGATGAACAGGGAACCCCAGCGGCCGCTCACTTCAATGGCACAGCAGGAACTTGGAGGCAGAGCACCACACAAACACGCAAAGCAGAGTGGTGTAGCAAAGCCGTTCTCTGAATGCTCGGGTCAATACGTTATTGATCGAGATGTGGATGCACCGAGTCAAATATATTCTCTTATTAGCAAGTCTCGATCTTGCTAGAGGCAGATTAGAGAGCTGAAACCAGACAAAGTCAGGTTTCGAATTATATTAATAGTGATATTAACATGAAATTCCTTACATGTTCATATCCTTTTTTATTAATTAAAGCTCAAGTATTTATTTATGATTTTCTGTTTGTCACTCTGTAGCAGAAAATTAAATCTAAAGAGCTTCAAAGGGGTCTACTCATATGTACTCATAAAATATTATGAAATAAAGCATAAAATAATATAAAGTAGAAGCACACTCTAGATGGACTGACAGTCCTTTAAATTCCTTTATTATTAACATATTAAACTCATGGCTTACACTCATGAAAAGCCCACTGTATTTTTCACTAAATGACAGAGAAAATTATATGAAGCTAAACATAGTAGAACTTAAAGGATTCTCCATTTATGACTGCACAAGTATTAAAAAATGGTTCAGCTCAGTTTTATGTGGTAGATCATGCAAAATGAGGTATATAAATACCTCAAAACATAAGCCTTACAGTAATGCAAATGCAAGTCATGGTTTTGTGATATCGCAATTTATTAATTTATCGTTCTTTATTTTACCCTACACACACTAGTTCCTATTATTGTAAGCTTTCTATCTGCATTATTCTGACACATGCCATGACGTCTTGCTTTTGTGCATTAAACCATTCACAAAAGAAACATGAACTATTAGTAAAATACAAACTATAGTAACACACATTGCTTTCACTAATTGTCTGGTTGGACAGCAGATTCTGCCATGTTTGTTAGTAGTTTATTAATCATTTAAAAAACACTTTTCAACACCTGCTTTTTGGTAATTTATAAACGATTTCTAAAAACATTTTGATACTTTTGGATTTATAAGCTACATGGTCAACTGCATCTATGAAAACATCTAGCAAAATAAGATAAAATCAGTTAATCATTTATAATGTGCTTCCTTGTTTCTGAGATGTAAAGCCTAAGTGTCAAACAGACACATGATTCTGCTAAGCCTATTTTGCAGAATCATAACGGCTTACACAAAATATGTTTACTGCACTGAGATGATGGGCTGATGTAAGCCTCTGTGGATGATGGACACAATAAAATCTCCCTGCTATTAAGAATAGGAAGGGAAGACAGTCTCTGGTGGTGTCAGTAACCATCCAGGGCCCAGCTCCAACGTAACAGCAAGCATGTCATGGTGCTGTCCCACGGGAAGACCACACATCCCAGGAGCCCAGAATGCAGCAGAGCCAGTCGTGTTGACTTGGCTGTCCATTTTAAATGACATCACCCCCTAGTTCAACACAGAGGGTATGCTGACGACAAGGATTTTATAAATAAAGTAGGGATATATTACAAGGTTTTGTTCAGTAAGTTAAAAAAAAGCACTTTAGATAAATTATGGAAAGAATGCTGCATGATTTTCTTTTACAATAAAATAAAAGACCTCTGTGAAAATATGACTACAAAACCCTTGCTTAAGAAAACTCAAATACTGGAAAACCACATCCAACTAAAGTACATTACAGCAGCAGAAAACAAAACGCATAAACCAGCCACTAGTAGTACATTGTCTATATCCTCCAAAAATAAGAACAATTCAAATCTATTCCGTGAGTGCTGAAACTTTTTAGGCAAGTAACACCCCTCTACTCCAGGATTTAATCTAGTGAAGTATCTAATGACAGTCTGATTGCCTGGCTGGAGGCAAGGTAGCTCTCTATCCTCTCCATTACAGCCCCAAATGTAACAGCCGATAGTTGGACTGGAGTGAAAGCTAGTCGTCTATATGCAGACCCCTGTTCGGACTCTAGGCCAGAGACACACACATCAATCATCCACTGTATGTACAGGATTTCCACTTCATTACCTGTGCCAGAGTCCAGCAGGCTAATTAGCCTTTCTACTCAGTTCCACTGAGGATTGCACTAAAAATAGCTTAAAATAACAAAACAATCGTATGCCTTATTACGTGACTGGCATTTCTAGTATTTCTAATGCTTTACCAGTATTCCACCAACTTTCAAAGTAGATCCTTGAGAAATATTTCAACTTACCCCGTCAACACTACGACAAAGTCCATAACGTTCCAACCATTGCGGAGGTAGGAGCCTTTATGGAAAGCAAAGCCTAGAGCGATGATCTTGATGCCAGCCTCGAAACAAAAAATTCCAATGAAGTAGGGTTCAGTGTCATCCTGTCATGAGATAAGAGAGGTTTTATTAGAGCCATAACAGAATGTTTAAATCTCTGTAATGAAAAAAAAAACAAGTTAAATGCACATTTAGTTATAGTAAGCCGCTAGAGGTCAGATACTGATAAGAGGACAGAACTGATAAGAAGGTCTGTGTGTGTGTGTGTGTGTGTGTGTGTGTGTGTGTGTGTGTGTCGTCAGCCAGTAGCATCGCTTCTTACGAGTAGCATACACAACTGCCAGAGGGGGGCACCATAATACGTTTGCTCACAATAAATGAAATGTTAATAATAAAGAAATGTTAATAGTTATGTCACGTGCACATATATTATATTTAGAAATATTTATAAAACATAGAGTTATGTAAATACGAAGCTCCTTGGTGATGCTTCCTGTTGTGCCGAATTCCAACTTGCCTCACTTGATTACCCTCAGCCAGTGGGACAAGATAAATGCATTTGTTTACCTGAGAAAACTTGGTTTTGTGAACCATGCACACATAACATTTAGTTATAACAAGTTATTTAAATATATCTATTGATATAAGCATAAAATAATCTACTCTAAAAGAATTCATTCATTCATTAGCCGTGGTTATTCCCTTTTAGGGTGAGAGGCGGGGGTACATCCTGGACAGCTCTTCAGTCCATTGTAGGGCATAAAAGAATTCAACTTTAGATCATTATATTATTTGTTTATTGTTATGCTTTGACTTCAAACTCAGTAATAATTTTTGCATCTTTCTAAAAAGAAGATGAATTATTGTTTGCATTTTTTTTTATATGTAATAGACTTACTGGCACTGCTTTTTAGCACAAGTCCTCACAAGTATTTAGTATGTATTTATAACAATAGATCATTATATTAAGTATTAGTGACCGTCAACATCCAAAAATGTAATATTTTGCAGTTGCATGATTTAGCTATACCTAAATCTCTTGACCTGGCTTTTGTGTTGAGCAAATTTTGGGGTGCACCACAGTACATTTCCGCTTAGGGCACAAGTTTAGATACTAAGTAATTACATCTTATGTCACACGGCAATGATAGCAACGAGGAACTAACATGTTTTTCAAAAAGTAACAACGCATTACAAAAAATAAAGAAAACTACCTTGCACCTAGAACAAAGAAAGGTAGACTTTATAAAAATAGAATTGTAACAGAAAATGTTACATAAAAATAATTTATGTTTTTCAATGAAAAACTTCATGAAATGTAAAATCCGTATCTGTTATTTGAAAGGGCATCAAATGCCTATTTATCACTAGTTGCAATCATTCAAAAATCTTTCAATAATTAATTAATTGTCCTGGTCAAAAATGACTTGTTTTGGATTCTGACTTTTTAAATAGTAAAAGCTACTGCCGATTAACTGCACCCCCAAGTTTTTGGGAGTAAAAAATAATCATTTTCTTCCTCTTTATACCATAAAGCACACAAAAATAATAGATTGCTCTACTCCACATGTGAAAATGCAACAGTAAATGATGGGTCATTATCAGAAGGACTATCACAAGGCAGAACTCTGCAAAAGCCTCATAGCAGTAGGAGAATGAGTATGAAGCTTCTTTGATCCATCTAGACTATATAGTCTAGGAAATTGCAAAAAAGTTGCCACATTTCTGTTCAAACACTTTGGAAAAGAGTAATTTTATATGATGCCAGTTAGATGTAAATGGGTGATATCGACTGGTTTCATGATGACTAAAGATAACTTACCAGTCGCTTTGACATGGGTGTCTTGTCTGAAGCAGGAAGATGCTGTTCTAATCCCAGTACGATGCAGTTTGCTATGATGGTGGCGAGAATCATGTACTCAAATGGAGTGATGATGGTTAAGAAAAGAGTTCATGTCATACAGAAAATAGTGTGTATCATCAAACATTGTGGAAGCAACAAAATACGCAAACACTTCAAATAACTTTGACTTTTTTAAACTTGTGTCAAGAAATGATATTAAAAGCCCCGTGAAACAACTTTTACATTAACACAAATATGATAAAAAATAATCACACATTGTCTCAGGTATCTGGTGAGAACTGCGTCA